AAAAGTGTATTTTTTACAGACAACAGCTAAAGTGTGTATATATATATATATATATATATATATATATATATATATATATATATATATACACACACACACACTTATATAGGGTTTTTTGTCTTACATTTCGACCTGATAACACTTACTTAGCAGGTATTTGTAAAAAAAAATACTTTTTTTTCATTATCACCACAGGAATATGTTATATATATATATATATATATATATATATATATATATATATATATATATATATATATATGATTCTGTTTTGGTTTTCGCTGAAAGTCCTTGGAAATCTCGTTTCTACCATCATCGAATGACTTTAGGAAATATAAAATACATAAACAGCACTGCTCTCTCTAAATATGTCTGGCAATTAAAGAGTGGTGGTAATACACCTATTATCAAGTGGCATATTGTGGCAAGAGCCAAATTTTACAATGGCAATAGGTGTAATTTATGTCCCGTTGAAAACTTGTAATCTTAAAGTACTTAAATAACCCTAGCTTATTTAACAAGATAAATCAGTTGAAGGTTACATATAGACATAAAAACAAACATATGCTCAAATGCCTCATATATTTAAAAAGTGTATAATATATGACTGCGCCAACATTACGATAACAAGATATTTTTATAATAAAAATTAAATTACGTAACTGTCAGTATAACTCAGCAGAATAGAGATTACGTTGTACGGGAAACCAACAGTGAGTGATAATATGTATACTTATATATACATTATATATATATATATATATATATATATATATATATATATATATATTTACTAAGCTTGTCTTAGATTGATTTAACGGCAGACGGAAAAACGAATATTAGGAAGATTGTGTTACGCCACGTTAATGTTTGAACGCACTCAACGATCAAAATGGATTCAATTGCTCTGTCTGCTACGGTCCATTGGCGTGTCTTTGATCAGACCCTTTTCTCTCAATCGGCAATTAACATTGTACACCTTACTCTTTTTTCCATTAAGATGCATCCCTCTTCTTTTTGTACTCAAAATGAAGGGGACAAGAATTGGCGGGCACCAACCGGAATCAAGTCAGGCTAACCTAATCGTTAATATTACGAGAGCCATAAACAAGGTGTCGGGTAAACAGGTTACACGATACAACTTGACCGAATTTTTTTACGGTCAGGACAGAGCCGTGCAGATGTAAACAAGAGGCTGTGTGCAGCATAACATTCGAACAGAAAGCCAATAGAGAAAACGATAAACAGGGGAATCATTTTTTTAACTAAAGAAATCACAAGAAAATGGTGTTGACAAGTCTTTTGGATTTTAATATGAAATAATCTGGCAGGGGTAATTATGTCTCCCACTCCACACAAAATAATGAGATAATATGAGAGCCTGTCTATTTTGATAATTTACAATATGGAAATTAGCCTTTTTGTTTCACACACACGAGAGACGGCGGCTGCGACTCGATTTCAAGCGATATAATCTCTTGATCCATCTGCAAATATGGGAAGCGCGGATCTGGTCTTTTAGTCTTGCTAGGGTCTTACATTGTCTTGCGCAGATGTTGTAATGTTGAGCGGCATTTACCATAGTTAACCATGTCACACAACGTGGAATGAATGACTTCTTTCTGTGTGTGACGCCTTTGATGATACATATACACAGATACATAAATACATGCATAGACTCTCCTATCGACTCCAGCTTATATAATTTGATTATAGCGGTGAAGGTTTTTGTAGAATCAGCCACACTTTTCGGAAAAATTGATAAGCGAAATTTGATGTATAATGTGCCACGAAGTCTCCAAACTTTGTTAATACTTTACTAGGGTTTGGATTCAACGGTTTCCTTCTCCTAAGTTGCTCGTGTGCAAAAACTGTCTAAATATTTTAAATATCCGATCGCTTTCTAATATTTTACTAGGCCATTTTCAATGATGTTTTTTTGTATTTTAAAAAGTCTACGCTTTTTGTCATACTTCTTCCTGTCTTTATTTTTTGCACATGTGAGCAACAATGTGTAAAAACGTTTCTAAACATTCAGTTAAAGTCCAACTTGTATCTATCTATATTTCTGAGATGAGGTATTATGTATACTATTTACATTGCTCGGACTATCATGTTGCTTCGGCCTTCTTCAGGGAATGATGGTTAGAATGTCGAATTGAAGCTTTTACCGGGTAGACTGTAATATCAGTTTTCTCCTGGTAATTCCCATCTCCAAGTTCTCCACCGCCTTAACCAGGTATTGAACTCACACTCTTTGGGTCACTGAATTTAATTAACGGCTTTATGTGTTCTTGAGGACATCCGTATATTAATTTCTGGGTATTATAAACCTAATGTCTTCAGCAACCATTTTACCAGTGCTTATATTGCAATTTTTGCTGTTATCAAACCCATGTTTTTACCAGAGCTCATATTGCAATTTTCGTTGTTATTATTGCTTCTCTCTGGCACTCTTTATTAATGGTTCCCATATTGTATTCTATGTTTTGTCGGCTCAGGAGACTTTTGAGGCCAACCTACCCATTTTTGTTCCAGATCCCCACGTTTATTCTATTTTCCATTTTTTCCCATCCTGCCTGTCTATTCCAGCCTGTTTATTCCAATATTCCCTCCGCCCTTTTGTGTTGCGAAAACAAATGAATTTTGAATAAATTTTCCAACTTACCCTTTTATTGAAAGCTTCTCTTCTATTCCTGACTTAAGAGTACGTATGAAATGCATCCTAGGCACATAATGATGCTGACATGTGTGCGTATCGAATCTGCTAACAGCGTTTCTATTCACATATCTAAGCAGCCGAGATACACTTTAACGAAAACAAAACGTGATTTAGAAAAGAAAAAAAGAACAACAAAATATTAAATTGTAATAAATAAATGTAATAAAAAAGGAAAAACCAAATAACAAAAATTATCCTTATTAGGATATGTACAATCGTCTTCATAAGACGTCAATATTAAAAATTAAAAAAAAAAAAATTCTACCGAGGGGGGAATGTTCATCTTCATATTAAAAAAAGATAACGAATAAAGGTTCGTTCTTTGGGTGATAGGGAAAATAACGAATCAAAAAGGGAAGAAAGGAAGTAGTTGCAGCAAAAACCTGAGTGTGAGAAGGAAAGAAAAAAAGGTAAATTAAACAGTTAACAGTGTTGGAATGATATGCATTTGGAAAGAGGAAGAAGTAACTTTTTTTTTTTTTTTTTAAATTATGAATACGACGAACGGTAGGGAAGAAGGTGGAAATGACTTACGCTTTGTTTTTTTAATGGATCACTTTTTAAAACATTTCTTTCAATCTTCAAGTGTTAACGTTGTTTGAAATATTGTCAAACGAGAAAAAGCGAGACGTGAGTGAAGTTAGGAATCTAGTCGTCGTGAATTTCTTTTATTGAAATAGATGCGTAAGTTCCGCTATCAGAGTTCAGAGCACAGGGATTACGCACGTGTTTTTGTAGGAATCAGATTTTATACTCGCATTGTGTGTAACGGAGAGGGCCCGTAAGCATGTTGACATGTAAATATGAGTGTTCGTAAAAACAACCTACGTGAAGGTGTCTTAGGATAAAACACGAAGAACGCCCTAGACTCATATTGCAAGAAACGGAGATGGTAATCCTTTGATGTAGCAATAGCCTTCTGGATTTAAAGGTACTTTATATGGATGGATTTTCTTTCTACAAGACAGCTTAAGTCAATTTAGAACCTGAGAGCTATAATAGATAAGCGAACGCCGAATAAATAAGTTGTATGTGAATAAAGCAAAGCTTTGCTGAAAAGACAAGATATATTTCCCATGTGTGATTGTACCTCAGCAACCGATTAAAAATGTCACTAGAATTTAGATTCTTATACTTTTATGTGCCTTCAAGACGTGGATGAATATAGCTCTCCACAACGTCCTGTCTTTTGTTGCTCTATTTATCTATTCACAAGAAGCCTAATGCTAAGAGAGATTGCACAAACATACTGTAAATATAAAAGTTGAATTTTTGTCAGTCGTTTACTATGTTTTTTAGAACAAAATTATGTTCAGTATTTTCTATAGGGAAATCATTAATGCATTATCATTATACATATAATAGTCATTTTGATGTGATTAATTTAAGGTAAAAATGTCAGAATTCGATATTTTATCATGAAGTCATTTCTCTACCATCAAAAATAGTTTGTTAACACAGACACTGACTAAACGTAAGCTATGGAAAACTTGCTATATCAAGAGGTAAAACTAAGAAAAATCTATTATGACGACTTATAATGACTCAGATTTTGTCGATGTTCAATTATAACTGTTCTTATAATCATATTTTCGGTAAAACCAACCATTAACGTGCCCCTGAAATATGGGATTTTGTTGAATGTTTTGATAGATTTATTTAATAGTTCTTATCCAAAGCAACTTATTCTTCTTTGATGCACCGTATTTCTTCAATAGACATGAGATCATGACTCTCCACAACTTCCTGTATTTACACTTTATCATCCATTTATGCAAACTCGCTATTCCCTGTTTATCTTGCCTTGAGTATGCCATGTGAATATTTAATTCTCCGAGCTTTCTTTCTTCATTTAGTGTCCCAACTGTTTTTATTTTTTTCTGAGTGTAAATATAAGTGCTTTTAATTCCTGTTTTCCATAAAACTTCCTCGTGGCTCATATGTCCTGTCCATGGCATTGTCAGGATTAGTTTGTAGAACCATATTTATGTCGCTTCAAGTCTCTTCTCTACCTGTGAGTAAATTGTCCAGAATTCACTGCCAAATAGTAGAGTATACCTTGGCTTACATAAATAGCAAGTATTTTAAGTAAATAAGTAAAACTGACGAAACCAATCTGGCTGTTGCAAACTTGTCATCAGTATAATTCTCTGAAAATGTAACTTATAAATTATAGGGACGGTACAGCACTTAGGTGAACCAGTAATTGGATGCCCTTGGCCAAAAAAGACGAATAATTAAAATTTATTTTATTAAGTTGATTTTTATTTACTTGCAGGCAAGCGCAGTTCAGCAGATGAACAACAACACTAGCGGAAGCGGCGGCGGTGGCGGTGGCGGAGGCGGCAGCAGCGTCGGAGTTGGTGGCGGCAACAACAGCAGCAGCAACAACAACAGTAGCAACAATAGCAGCAGCAACAACGCCAACAATGGCGGTAGCGTTAACCTTAGCAGCGGCGGTGGAGGTGGCGGTGGCGGCGGCGGCGGTAATGTGACCCCGTCCTGCCAGACCCCAACGGGCCAGAACCAAGCCCACGCGCTCACCCAGTCAAGCCAGCCGCAATCCCAAACGGCCAGCATCGACCGATCGGCGCCGCCCACGGGAAACGATTTTATCCGGCATCAGCCGCCAACGTTTCGACCACCACCGGAGTTCCACCCTCCGTTTTTCACCAACAGTAATGGTATCTTTCGACCGGGTTTCACGACAAGCTACCAGCATCCCGCACACCATCATCCGCCAGTAATTCAACACACCCCACTCCAACACAATTCAGTACAAAACGGTAAGTAGAAAATGAAAAATTTCTTCAAATTTTATATTATTTGTTGCCTTATAAGGAAATATTCGGCATTCATTTACCAAACTAGACTGTCGGTTGAAATTTATGAAATATATTAAAATAGTCTTTCAGGAAAATAAACTTCTCTAGTCCTCTAACTTTTATTGCTCTTTCTAATATTGATGTGAGTATATCTAACATACAAGTGGAAAGTCAATATCTTAATTATGTCATTATTATATTTTCGAGTTAAATTTGTCATCCAATTTAATTGTTGCTGCCGTTGAAAGTGATGTGGTTTTCGGTAAAGTTACGAAGAATTTGCGATATTCAGTCTATGAATTGTGAATAATTCACTATGCAGCACAGAGCTATGTTAATCAATACATCAATATAACTTGAACAAGAATTATTATCGAGACACGATACGCGAAAACTCGTTTACATGCTAAAGATAAAGGGCGTATGTCTTAATGTTTGCGTGTTGTTGACTTATCGCACGAATTCTTGCTTGTGATTCTGTTGCGCAAGTCTGCGAAATCCAAAGAAGGAGAGCGCTCTTTAAGTCCAATAGTCTTTCGCTTGAATCCATTTTAATCATTGTTCTGAGGAAACACTTGTATACAACTGACAGATTATATATTTCAGAATGTTTTGGGCGCCATGTATGACATCATATGAGAAGCTAGATATGACAAGTCTATTCAAGAATATGACTCGAGTTCTTAGGTTTAAAAGTCTGTTATATATGCTTTCATCTTTACGATAGTTTGTTTTCGTCTTTGCATGTCATAAATGCGCGATAGGTTTTTCCTCCTCATATTTTCTGTAAACTAACTTAGTTTTCTTCCTTTTATCCAGTTATAAGCTACTTCGGTTCCTTGCTTGTCTCTTCGTTTTTATACTAATGTTCACCTAATACAAGCCCCAAGAGTCACTCAATGTAGAGGATTACTGTGGTGTGTCGTATCAACGTAAGAAAAGGCAAGAAATGTAGTGCACGAGGTTATGTAGGAAAGATAACAGTTTAACCCTACACATGAAAAGGTGAAGATTGTAATGATTGGGAAAACATGTTACCATGCGTCTTTTACGCAAAGCAGCAGTTCTTAGGAAGAAGCGGTTCGATTGGATCTTCCTTCTTAGTTATGGAATACGAAGGAAATGAAAATGATTCACTATTGTGTACAGGGTATACCGGGTACCAATTGCTAAGGTCAGAGCTGGTGGAACTAGGGTTAAATGTCAAAATCCTTTGAAATCTTAAATTACCTGGACTTATCGATTGATTTGTGTGTAGAAGATGGATTCATACTTTTCCCAAACGTTTAAGTGAATGAATAGACTTATAGTTTACTTTTCATTTTATTTATTTATTTTTTAAAGCCGATGACAAAATTATCATTTAGAATCAATATGGCCAAAGATTATCATTTGGAATAAAAATGAAGAAAGATTATATGGGATTTTGGTCTCAAATACGAAAACTTTCCGACAAAATCAGCATCGGAAATACTCTATTTACATTATTGGGACTATTGTTCTCATCTTTGTTGCCATATTTATCACAACGTTTCATCCGCTGTACGCTCCGGTCTTTTTCAAGTGGTTGGAATGCTGAAATGAACCCTTTATTTCGCTCGTTGGAGTTAAATTATTCGAGTTCCACGTGCCATGTCTAATGGATGTCAGTTATGAGTTATCTCCTGTTAATTCACCTCTCCAAGTTCTCCACTGGTATTGAACTCACAAACCTTTGAGTGCTGTCAGTGGATCTAACCAACGCCTTTATCCACTGTGCCAATACCTGGGTAAGGCAGTGAAAATTTTGAACGATTTTTTAAAAAAAATACATGAATTTTAAAGAAAATGGACTCTCGAATTTTAAAGAAAATTTTAAAGGAAACCTATTTCATGTTATACAAAAGAGTGCCGCTAATACCATAGACGGAGTATGCGACCAAGAAAAATGTAAGAAAAATGGAAAAGAAATGGTGACTTATGTAGAATCAGAAAGAATTAGAATTTATGGAGGAAAGCAGGCTTGATACTCACAGGGCCTATTAAAAGCAAAGGAGACGAAAGAAGCAGCTATGTAAGAGAGATAGTTAAAAGACAAATATTAGTAAGACCTACAAAGGATAGGAAGTTGTGGAGAGCCGTGATCGCATTTGTCCTGAAGAGACTCGGAACTTAGAAGACGACGACTAGATTTAGAAGTTCATTAACAACACGCGTACATTTTGGTGTTTCAATGTAAGAGAGAGTAGCAGACAAATGCATATTAAGACCAGAAACAATACGGCTTGGACTTAAACAAAAACCGGTAGGCATTGAAAAGTAACGTGAGAGGAAGGCGGTCTCAAAACAATGAGTCAAGTGCAGTGGAGAGTAAGGTGTGAAGTGCCAAGCGCACGAGGAAATCGCGGGCACTGGAGGTAAAACTGGGTCAGCTTCTAAGATCGAGACACTTTAAAAACATAGACAAACAAAAAAAAAGAGGCTTTCTTCTATTTCCTTTATTTTTTTTTTTTTTCATTGTACTCCGGATATTATACCCACAAAATCTGGTAGACAAAAAGTAAGGAAAATGTCAGGGGAAAAAAATGTCTCTTTTAGTTGACTGTGAAAGTAGTATGTCCACATTACACTGCACCGGAAGTTAACCTGGTGGTGGAGCCACAAGATTCGTCCTTTTTTTTTCGCACTGTCTGTGAGGTAGGCGAGAAATGCATATATATATATATATATATATATATATATATATATATATATATATATATATAAACTAGAAATGCATTTGTGTGCGAGGGTTTATATTAAATATAGGGGTATAAATACAAGGAAGGACCCAACACGGAAAGAGATGTAGAAGGAGAAAGTTATATAGACTTATTTGTTTTATATAAATATATGCAGTTGTATATTCCTTGCTCAACTATATCTGGGCTCAAATGTAACTACAGATATGGGTTAAATAGTTTGTATCGGGGGGGGGACATTATTATTCTAAAAACAAATATTGAGGTTAATGCAATACTTACTCACTAAAAATAACTTCTTACAATTCAAAATGTTCGACTTTAAATAAGACGCAATGGGTTGATAACCCGTAATAATCATTCAAACTTCTTTCTTATTCTAACTCAATCCACGAGCTAAAAAGAAGGTACGTGATAAGATAACTCGTCGAATCTCTCATAGGTAGAAAATCCTCAAGGACACATGGCTCAGTGGATAAAATCGTTGGTAGAATCCAGTGACTTAACCCAAAGAGTTGTGAATTCAATACCTGCTGAGGAGAACAAAAACTTGAGTTAAAAAAAGAGATAACTGATACTGAGATATACAGAAGAGGCATGACACGTTGAACTAGAACAAGGCTTCAGTTCGAAATTTAAATCACATGAAAAAGGCCGGATCGTACAACGGCCGAAACGCCTTGAATATGGCAACGAAGATGAGGATAACAGTCCGAACAATATAAATAGTGTAAATAATTACAGTACCTCTTCTTAGAAATATAGACATACAGTTACCTAAAATACCAAGATATTTGGTGAAATAATATCAAGTTAAAATGTGTATATTCGATCTGATAAGTTTCCTTTTGAAAAAAAAGTATCTGAAATGGAGAGAGGAAAGCGGAGAATAATCTACATGACGATCTCGTTGGCTGAACAAGGAATAGGAGCGATATCAAAAGACAAACCTTACAAAAAACAGTAAGTTGGAAGAGACACAGTTTCCCATGTCTTGAAGTATCACGACACCTAGAAGAAAGTTAATCTGATGTAGTTATAAATGTTGAGCGGTCCGATGAAGATTGAAATCACAATAATAATAACTAACTTACTAAACAATGTTCTAAGGTGAGTTCTTTTATAAGTATATTTCTTAATGCTTTGCTGTAGTGAGACATTACATTTAGTGAGACTCAAACTACATTTCTCTAATATCCACTCGGCGCCCATATATTTGCCAAACGCGTTAATCTAAGTTAAGCCATAATAGCAATGGTTCTCAATGTTACTTTGCTAATCATTAATCCAATATATATGGCCCTTTTCGGCGATGGTGACAGTCGGCAGCAGAAAATATGTTGTCTTAAAACAGCGAGAAACAACCAATTCGCGATCGGCACGGTTTTTGACAACGGTCATACGAGTAGAATACTTTGGATTCATCCAGCGTGGAACATTTGCATATTTGTCTAGACTTTGCAGTGCGCTGGACTCTATTCTATTCCTATAAGTTTGTTCACGCGAAAACAGCTCTCTGCCCTACTCGATCCAATTCGTAACATTGATAGAAAATTCAATCATGGACGTTTTACACTGGTACTTGAAAAGAAGCTTAGATCGTCCATTGTTACGCGTGCCCCCAGTTTCCCAATACAGTATATGTTTGGTAATTCTGGAGTTATCCATGAGCGCAACGTACCCAAGCCACCTGAGACGCCGAGACCGCAGGATGGGATATAGTATCCGGGACCCTATCTTACATTTAATTTTTTAAATATTTCTTAAATATCTTACGTGAAAATCTCCTCTCCTGATCAGCATACAAGGTCCACGTCTCACTCCCGTAAAGGAGTGCTGAGAGGACGCAAGTTTGATCAATTAGTGTCTTGGTTTTTATCCTAAGTTTATCACTTTCTCATGATCATTTCATAACTTTCTTGAATGCAGCTGTGGAATTTCCTATTCTGCTTGTCAATTCCTCGTCCATAGATAGGGTCGATGTTAGGGTAGATGCCAAGTAAACAAACTTATCTATTGTTTTTCAGAGATTCGTAGTGAAAAATTCTCTGAAAAACAATATTTTCTGCAATTTTCCACCTTTTAGTTTGTTATTTGGTTGAATATAAAATAATGGACAGGATTAAAAATTGTCTCTCTTTCTTTACCTCAACGAAGATTTGGAAAAAAAACTTCTTTTTTTTTAAAAAAAAAAAAAAGGAAAAAAGAACACAGCCCTGTTACATTATCGGTCAGTCTGGT